TTTTTCTATAAAAAAAATTTCGGTACTCGCCGATACCAAATACTGATACTGGAAGTTCCATTAAGGAAACCAGGCAGCGTATAATTACTCGCTGCCCGGTTTCCTTATTAGCCGGGAAGACGTCTCCATGCTCCCTCGTCACTTGGTGACAAGAAAGCATGGAGCCGGCTTTCTGGCTAATCAGGAAGCTGAAGGGCGGTTAATGACTCGCGGCCTGGCTTCCTGATTGGCAAACTTCCCGACCAATCAGGAAGCTGGGCAGTGATCACTACACAGCCGGGAAGCCGGCTTCATGCTCCCTCATCACCGGGTGACGAGGGAGCATGGAGCCGGCTTTCTGGTCAATCAGAAAGCCGAGAAGCGGGTAATGACACGCCGCCTGGCTTCCCGATTGGCCAGATTCCCGGCCAATCGGGAAGCTGGGCAGCGAGTCATTACACGCCACCCGGCTACCTGATTGGCTGGTAAGCCAGCTCCATGCTCCCTGGTGACTGAGCTGTGAAAATAATACAAGGTGAGACTTCCTTAAGTGTCTGTTGGGTGCTCTTTATAAATAATAGCACACCTTTGCTACCATAATTGCTTAGAATGTAACATCATATATGGTACATATTGCTACATTGTAGATATGGTTGGTAAACTGGTATATTAATATGGGAGAACATCTCCAGGTGATTTTTTTCCCCCCCATTAATGCAGTGCTGTGGTTTACTGAGGTTTCATAGCACAAAATTTAAACCTAAATCCAAATCTTTTTTTGGCTGTACTTCCCTTTGGGGTCACAGGATTACATTTTCTAATGTGCACCTATGAACCAAAGTCAGCAGGTAGAAGGCTACTGCCTACTATATGATGACAACGCAGAGCTGCGCTGCAACCTGGAAGGATCCCAAAAATATTGATTGGATCCACGCAGCTGCTTGATTGAAGGCTAATTCTGCCTCTCTAGAGCCAGACCCAGCAGTGCCAGCCCCCTCCACTGTCTGTCTCACCAGTCAGCTCTGGAGTTACAGAGGGGTGGAATCCCTGTCGGGAGAGGTGACTGATGGTCACTAATCTCTGCAGGGAGGAGACAAGGAGCTGAGTGATCAGCGGTCACACAATCGCTCAGCTCTTGATCTATAGAGTCGGCATGTGAAAGCTGCGGTGTTCCACCACGGCTCTAAGTATTGGGAAGAGTACATTTTACTCTTCCAATACTTCTCCTTTTAAATAGCTGAATCACATCCAGGTTGCTGTGGTTGAAGAGGACAACATTTTTTTTTACTTTTAACACTGATGCATGAAAAGTCTTGTGAAAGATAAAGTAGGGTCAAAGCGACGGACGTGCTTTGCCTGAATTTTCAATTTTTTAAAATAGTTTCCAGTTCTGCGTCATGAATGATTCCAACTACAGGAACAGTGTGGACACTAAGTATGTCAAAGTTTTTTGTGCGGTCTACTACCGTTCTATTCATTTATTACACTAACCTACACGATTCAATTTTGAGTAAAGGCCGAATGAATGAGCTAATAAAAACAAACAAGACTCTACTCTTACTTGGGCTATGCTATCCACTACATCCGATGAAACACTGCTACACTTAATATATTCATAGCTCATTCTTCCGAACAGATTAAGTCAAACATTAACCTCCTCTCTGAGCTTCTTATTAACATAAACAGAGAGTTGAAATTCACTGTGTAACCACTGTCTGCTCATTTGCCACTCACTGGAACAATGGAAGTTATGTTTGCCCTGGGATACATTAATACAATTCTCATTTGGCTTGCAGTATGACCATATATAGCAGTTTTCTGATACTTACACATAAATATACGCATATAAATTAGCAGTGAATGTAGTTTTTCTATTGTGCATGACTCTTCATTTGTGAGGATATTACATGCCTGACATTCAACTGCTATAGACAGCTGAAGTATTTATTTTCTGAGCAAATATTCAGTCCATGTACTCCCAATAAACTAATGACATCTCATATAAATGGTACAGAGTACCTTAAATCAGATGAGTTCTGATTATAGTTTAGCTCAAGAGAGGACATCCTAAAACATTCAATGTGAAAATGGCTTAAAGTAGTATTAAGGTCTGTGTGTTTTTTACTTTAATGCATTCTCTGCATTACCAGTACCGTTTGCTCTCCTTCTTCCCCCCACACTTACCTGTCAGGGTTGCTTGTCACCACCGCTGGTCCCAAAACGATCCTCCATTCCCCCGAACTTCCTGGTTGCGGGGCGAGGATATTCATGGCAGAGGAGCCATAGGCTTCTTCTGCCATCAATCAAACTGTTGGGCGGAGAGGACGGGCGTGGCCTGCCACAGGGCTGTGCGTGTCTATGGACGCATACAGCTACTGCGACCACCGCCAGGAATGAACACCTACAGGTGCCTCCACAGCAGCTGCTTAGCTGATGGAGGCACCTGTGCAGGGGGCAGGGGGGGAGAGCGCTGCTGGGACCCACTAGAAAATGAGGAATTGAAAACTTAAAGAAAAACTACAGCAGTTTTTATACAAAGGTGGAACTCCTACTAGTAAATATTTTTAAAAACATGAACCTTAAATATCGCTTTAATATAGCTTAATGTGTCAGAAATCCTCCAGAGGTTTTTAGTGCTGTAAATATTCTCAGAAGGTCCATAATTTTTACATATTTGTTGCAGGAAATGGTGATGGGTACGCACATCTAGTTTGATAATTAGTAAATACAATGCTGTTAAGAACACTTGAAGGAGCAAAGTGCATTAAGCAAATACAGATGGGCATCACAAGCAGCTGCCAAGGATGCAGAGCAGGCAGGGGGGCTTAAACTAAATAAAAGAACAATAAGTAAACCTAAACATCTGCCAGGCAATAACATTAATAGCGATTACCATACATGCTGATCATTTTTAAAAGTAATTTCTTATGTTAAAATCTAAGTACCTGTTTTGTATTGTTAAAGAAATGGCTCCCTTGATTCCCTTGTGCAGTTTTTGTGGGAGTGTGCAGACTGCAGTTACCAACTACTGACTTTTGCATAACTGCCCACCAGTCCACAGCATTGATTCAGTAAAATATTTGACCGCTTCCCAATGCTAAATCTCTTTAGATGTCTGTTTGTTTCTTTGCATGAGCTGCCCATTTTAAACCCCCCTCCTTCTGCAACATTTCAATGGTATTCAGATTAGATCTTTGACTATGGTAGTCCATAACCCTCCATGTCTTTCCTGGGCCATTCCTTAATGGATTTTCTAGTATGTTTCGAATCATTGGTAAAAGTTAAATTTCCAGTTGAACTTTTACTTTCAAACAGATGGGCTCACTCTCTCTCATTAAGCAAAATTTGATATGCTGCAGAATTTGTAGTTGATGACTGCACGCTGAGCAGGCCCTAAAGCAGCAAAGCAACCCCAAATCATACCCTGTCCACCTTCAGGCTTAACAGTTGGTAAGGTACTATTCATGAAATGCCGTCTTCAGTTTACCCCAAACATGTCTACTGTTACTGTGGCCAAACAATCTTTAATGTATCAGTCCACAGCACATTGTTCCAGAAAGCTTGGCCTTTGTCTATATTTTCAATTGCAAACTGTAGTCTTGCCCTAATGATATTCTTGGATAATGAAGGCTTTTTTTCTGGCACATCTTCCATGTGGGTTAAATTGTTGTAGTCTCTTTTTGATTGTAGGTGCATGCACTTTATCAATAACTGTTTCAGAAGTTACTCACAGAACCCACAATTAAATGTTGGGGTCCTTAGAGACTTGTGTTTTTTATATGAAATAGTGAATTTTCTGGGCCAGCAAGTACATGTACATGCATTTTTGTGTGTTAGGGACCAGAAAAATATGTGACAAACTGGATTTTTTTTTTTTTTTTTTTTAAAGCTCTGCAACTGAATGCAGTGGTGTGAACTACACTACACACTACACTAAACACCACACACTACACACACGAAAACCATTGGAATCTATGGACATGTGTTTTTGGACCAGACAAAAAAACATTCTGGTCTGGATCTGATCTGGACATGGTGTGAATAAGCCCTTAAACAGGTCTCAAGCAGGCCATACACTTGGCAGTTTTCGATCTCAATTGCTTTTGATTAGGGATGCAGCGATACTTTGCAGATACCAGTGCCGATACTTGGCATTTTCATGAGAACTACCAGGGTTGCAGCGGTTGCGGCTGGGACTTGGCTCTGGCGCTCCACCACTGTCCTGAAATCATTAGTCGATATTGTTTTAGAAAAACTGTCACATGACAATAAACAAAAATGTATCAGTACTCGTACTTATAAGTACTTGGGCAAGTATCAGTACTTGTACTTGCAAAAATGGTATCGGTGCATCCCTTTATATATGTTTATAAAAACAAAATCATACATTAAAACAGAGATGTACTAATCCCAGGAGCTCCGTGTGCTCCTTACAAATGACAGCTGCCTCCTAACTTTTGAGTTTTTATCTAGTCTAGACTTGGAGCTCGAAAAGTATCTGTACTTGCAGTTGTACTTGTACCAAATACGGTACTTGGTATCCGTGCATCCCTACTTTTGATTCACTGGCCATTACTTTGTAATTTTAACAAAAAGTTTCATTGAAAGTTGAAGCTCGAATTAAATAGAAAATTCCCTCTATCAAATTGCCATTTGGCAATATGGTAAAAGTGTTGATGGACTGCCACATGGATGTTTTAGAAGTAGATCTTTAATAGTATCACCCCAGAAACAAAACAAAAAACTCTTCAACCCTGCAATTAAAGCAATAATAATTTCAATTGGTATGTGGTTTTTAGCTGCCTGGAGATGACTTTGACTTGTTAGGTCAGCAGCTGATAAGAATCTCTGGGGTGGTTTCTCATCAGATGAGTAGTCACCTTGCCTTACGTATGGAACAGTCCTGTTCAGGTCACAAAATGAAAAAAAAAAAAATTAACAGTTGATGCAACTTGCGAACATTTTCAACCAGGATTTGCTAAACTTGTAATTTTTCTTATTTTCTCTTTTTTTCCCTCCAGGAAGAAGCAGACAGCATTTCCTGCCAGGAACAAATTAATCGATCCATTTATTGGGCAGATGGCTTTGTGTTTGTCTTCTCAATCACAGATTATAATAGTTACCGTGTGATTAGACCTTTGTACCAGCACTTAAGGAAAATCCACCCAAACACCAAAATTCCACTTCTTTTGGTAGGAAATAAAGCTGATCTTCTAAGAGCCCGACAAGTGGAATCTGATGAAGGTCTTCAGCTTGCTAATGAACTTTCTGGGACATATGCTGAAGTATCTGCTAGAGAAAATTATGAAGGGGTATATGGAGCTTTCTACCAACTGTGTCAGGAGGTTGGAAAGATGATCTTCAGCTGCAATGGGGAAAAGAGAAGAGGACTTCATCTTGTGCGCCCCAGATCTCCTAACATGCAAGACCTAAAAAGACGCTTTAAGCAGGTGTTGTCTTCCAAAGTGAAGTCTACCACCACACTATGACCGCTTCTGGTATTGCAAGAGTGGCCTGGTCTCCTGTGGCAGCTGCCATTCACCGACATGGATTGCATATTAGTGTCAGTGCAGTGACTTCATGTACAATGTCTGAGAAGCTTCTGAGACAAGTGTTTTGTTTAGTCACTAGTCCTTTATTTGACTACATTTTAAATATTCATTTATTCTTCAAAGGTTTATTGGTCCAAATTGTGCTGGTACTAATTTGGCCATGTTGCATTTATTTTGTTGCTAAAGTTTTCTGATAACATTAATGCCTATTTGCAACTCAAGTGATTGTTGCATGCCATGATGTTAACCTAACTGTCTATATGATTTAAAAGGCCTTGAAAGCACCATGGTACCATGGACAGGTAAAGAGTGAAAAATGATGTGGCTGCTTGCCTAATGTTCCCCTATGGCAGCACAATGGATGATAGCAAGGATGTCAGGTTGTCAAAAGATATACAGTATATCCACACTGAGGATAAGAACATCCATTTGTCAGCATCCCCAAGTATAAGATCTTTTCAGTGGCTTAGGCCAAATACTGTCTGATGTGTGAGTGGATTTATAAGCTGCTACAGTATGTTCTCTGGCCTATTTTATTCATTGCTTTTATTATCTGACTTATGTTTAAACTATCAACAAAAGATGCTCAAGACTGTGAACCATAGTTACATACATTTCCAATAAGGCTTTAGTAAAATTAAGTTACAGCATGACACTTTAGGAAATAGAAAGCAATGCATGGAGTTACTAAGTTAAAAATGAAATCAGTTGTAGAAATAATTTTTTTTTTGCAACTATCTATTTTGTACATTTGACACAACTTTTCACATTCAATCCTATAACTGTTCTGGGAAAGTGAATTATTTAACGTATTTTAAAAACATTCAAATGTTCTTATTTTAGTAAATACTACAATGCTTAATTGGTTTTCCAGTTTTTTGGAAATTGAACATCTGTTTGTGAATCTTCCTTAATGTTCTACCCTTGCCTCCCTTTACATCGCTGATGGCGAAACTGGAAGATATGAGTTCAGATTCTGCCTGCAGCACCATCTACTGTTAAAAACTGTTATCGCAGCACCAACAGCATCATGTGTCAGTGATAGCAATGTATATTAAAAAAAGGGGCATTAGCAAGAATACACTATTGTTACTCTACAGGGGAGTCAGAGGCAAGTAGGGTGTGTCTGATTAAACTAGAAATCCCCTTTAGGTTTGTTGTATAAATGAGCATCCCTCAGCAATAGTTATATCCTAGTAATCAGTGCATTAATGTACGAATATTTAAAGGCACTCCTGTTTGTATGTTTGCCTGTGCTCACTTCCTTGGCTGCACATGTGCCTGCATATACAAAAATAACTACCTTAGCATGTATGGGGACGCATACTGGAGTAATCATGTGAATGAGCATATAAGTGAGCGAATGAGCATATAAGTGAGCACATACACTATATTGCCAAAACTATTTGGACACCCCTTCAAATCATTGGATTCAGGTCCCAATCACCTCCATGGCCACAGGTGTATAAAATCAAGCACCAAGGCATGCAGACTGCTTCTACAAACATTTGTGAAAGAATGGGTCTCTCTCTGTCACGGTCTAGGGACCAGGGCACTAGGGTACGTGAGCTCCTGTGTTTGCGGAGTTGGTAGGAGTCACAAAGAGGCGGGATATCGGGGATGTAGGTCACAGGGAGAGAGGAACGAATGGTCTGTGCGTTCTGAGGACGCACTAGAGGCGCAGAATCTAAGAAGGGCCAGGTATTCGACAAGCGTGTCTGGGCTTGGCGGTTGCAAGGGGAACGGTACTTGATTGACTGCATTGTGCCAAGTGTAAAGTTTGGTGGAGGGGTGATTATGTGTGTGGGGTTGTTTTTCAGGGGTTGGGCTTGGCCCATTAGTTCCAGTGAAGGGAACTCTTAAGACATCAGCATACCAAGACATTTTGGACAATTTCATGCTCCCAACTTTGTGGGAACAGTTTGGGGATGGGCCCTTCCTGTTGCAACATGACTGTGCACCAGTGCACACAGCAAGGTCCATAAAGACATGGATGAGCGAGCTTGGGGTGGAGGAACTTGACTGGCCTGTACATAGTCCTGACCTTATCCCATAAGAACACCTTTGGGATGAATTAGAGCGGAGACTGCGAGCCAGGCCTTCTTGTCCAACATCAGTACCTGACCTCACAAATGCACTTCTGGAAGAATGGTAAAACATTCCCATAGACACACTCCTAAACTTTGTGGACGCCTTCCCAGAAGAGTTGAAGCTGTCATAGCGGCAAAGGGTGGGCCAACTCAATATTGAACTATACGGACTAAGATTGGGATGTCATTAAAGTTTATGTGTGTGTAAAGGCAGACGTCCCAATACTTTGGGCAATATAATGTACCAGTAACCAGGGTATGATATCCCAGCTACTGGCTGCTGATTACTACCATCTGACAATAATCACAGTTAACACTGTTATTCCATAATAATGCTATTTCTCCTTACATTTGAAAAAGCAATGATGCTACAATATACTGGAGCACATGTTGGGCAATTTACAGATGAGAAAAAAAGCTGACTAAAATATTTCTGGTCTTATGATCATTATATACCTCCATCTTGAAGGGGTTAAAGAGAACCTATCATGTGAGAAATGGAGGTGGCCGTTGCTGAACTCCTCTGAAACTGCTGTGTGCCTGGATATCAAGCTGACACTATTTGCTTCTATATGCTGAGCTTCTGACCTGGAATGAGCATGTGCAGGACAGTAGTTATGTCTTTTCTCTGAGTTTCCTCATCTGCATACTTGTTTCAGGTAAATGATTTAGAAAGTATTGGTGCTGGCTGGTCAGCCAGCGAAGAAGATTCTTCAGAAGAAGGTCAGACATGGAAGCCTCCATATTGAAGTTAACTCTTCTTGAACTACTTTAGGTACTTTAATTACACATTTTTAAACCCCTGGCACATCTATTAAAGACTGCATTTAAAACATTTATGAAACTGTTGGCTGATCCTACAGAACACATGGGTCATCATTCTGTTAGTAACACATGGAGTTTAGCTCCATTTATGTTCAATGATCTGTGAGGCATAGTGGAGTCTATACAACATTCTGGAAAATGTGTCAGATCAATCCACTTGTCCTTAGCTTGTATTGTGGTATTATCCATAATTCATTATACACAAACATCTGTATTCACTGTACACAGATAATGGAAGCAATTCATGTGTTCTTGCACAGAGTTACATACATTTTATGAATGCTGGTAATCTACTTTATAAGTAGTAGATACACAGAGAAGCCTCCTGGCAGAGGTTGCATTGAGCCAATAAATAACATTAACAGAACTTTAGATCATGCTGATTTCAAGGTAAGCATGTAGAGATGGATATAGGTCAGGATGAGCGATAGTAGAATTACTATGTTGAATTGTTCTAACAGTAAGTGTGATGCAGTACCATTATTTTTATATTTGCAAACAAAACCAGCTGCTTACTTTGTAATAAAACAGAAATCTATTTTATATGCTCTTTGTATTTGTCATTTTATACAATGCAAAACTCTTTATGAATACTTTACTATATTCTCCACAAACGTGCACTGCAGTCTGCACTCTAGTGTTTGGTAATAGGTCTTGATATTTGTACACAATGCCACCTGTCTGTACATTGATTAAAATATCTGAGCTGTGGAGGGCATTGTAAGCATTGTGCGGAATACAAACCGGCACATGCCATACTATTATTACTATTATTATTATACAGGATTTATATAGCGCCAACAGTTTGCGCAGCGCTTTACAATATAAGGAAGACATTACAATCGCAATACAATTCAAGACAAGATGGTAAGGAGGGCCCTGCCCGTGAGGGCCTACATGTTCTACAACAGTCAGTATTGCTGTAGCACTTCCCTTTTGGAACAAATGTAATTCCATTAATCTTAGAGAGAGGACTGTACAGATTTTCAGATGCAAAGCAAAGAATTCCTGCAATGTTTATAACAAATGTGTGATCTGACAGGATGAAAGAAGACACCTGGGTATGGAGAGCCTGCACGCCAGGTATGCTTTTAGTGTATACAGTTTGGTGTGCTTCCACTATCTAGACACGCATTTCAGCTATTTAGTTCCCACAAATCCAAGTAATTTGACCTTACATTGGCAGTCTCAGCGTCTGAAATCATAAAATATGTGAGCGATGTTTTGAAAACTGGAAAACACTGACTTCGCTGTCATTTCCATTTGCTTTTATCCTAAAGCAGTACTCCAGATAAACTGTTAAACAGATATATGTTTACTCTTTTACCTGCCAAAGAATTTGCCATTCTCTCCAACCAATTTTGTGATTGTCACTCCGCTGTGTCCCAGAACCAAGAAACCAGACGAAAACTAAAAGTGCAGGTTAAAAAATAAAGGAGTTTATTGAAAACGACAATAAACAAAATAGCAAAATAATATTAAATCCAAGAGGGTAGTCAGCCGAGCCAGGTCTGGGAACACAGAGAGCAGGATAAACCAAGTACAATAGCCGGAGTCTGGAACCAGGTGATCAGTACACAGAGCCAGGATTAGTGGCGTAACAATCACCATAGCGACTCAGGCGGCCGCTATGGGGCCCGAGGCACGGCGGGGCCCGGCCAGGACATCTCCCTGATGCCATGCGGGCCGCCTGGGTCGCTATGGCATCTTGCTCGGACAGCCAGGCTGCTGGCTTTCACTGGCGGCTGTGAGGAGCAATGCTTCGTTCCTTCTCACAGCCGCTGCTGAGTTGGTGACAACCAGCAGCTTCGCAGGAGGTGGCTGGGCCCGTCATCGGCAGTGATCGAGGGCGCGGGGCCCGGCGATCGAGGGGGCGGGACCCTGTGATCGAGGGGCGGGGCCCGGTGATCGAGGAGGCGGGGCCCAGTGACGGAGGAGTCGATCGTGGAGGAGAAGGAGGCGGACAGAGGATCATGGCTGACAGGTAAGAGGGCTTGACCGCCCGCCTGAGACCCTGCAGAGCCTACCATAGAGAGTCTATGGTGGGCTCTGCAGGGTCACCCTTAGGTGGGCTGTTTGGGTTATCAGGTGGGCGTAACTAGAAATCACAGGGCCCCATACAAAATTTTGCTATGGGGCCCTGTGATTTCTAGTTACGCCCCTGGCCAGGATCATACACGGAGC